CGGTGAAGCGCGCGTCGAAGCAGCTGGTGGAGAAGTACTTCACCAAGCTGAACAAGGACTTCTACCAGAACAAGCGCCTCGTCATGGACGTCACCATCGCCCGCTCCAAGAAGCTGAAGAACAAAATCGCCGGCTACGCGACGCACATCATGAAGCGCCTCGCCCGCGGCCCGGTCCGCGGCATCTCGCTGAGGCTGCAGGAGGAGGAGCGCGAGCGGCGCATGGACTACGTGCCGGAGGTGTCGCACGTCGACCAGGCCATCCAGGACGGCGTGCACGTCGACAAGCAGACGCTCAGCATGCTGAAGCGCATGGAGACTGGACTGCCGCGCCACGTCACGCTCGCGCCCGTTGCGGTCCCCGCCAACAAGAAGGGTGGCCGCCGCCCGCCGTTCCGCAAGTGAGCAGGTGCGTGCATGCATCTCTGTTGGTGTGATTTTTTTTGCTGGCCGATCTCTACTTTATAATTTTTTTTTCTTTTCCGTTAGGCGAGTTACTTCGCAAAGTAATAAAGCATAAAACCCGTGCCGCGTTTCTGCGCTGCTTGCCCCCTCCCCCTCTTCCTTCTGGAGGCGCCTGCCGCTGCTTTGAGTGTTTGCTTGCGACGTATCCCGCCCGCTTTTTTTTTTGTGTGTATGTGTTTGCTCGCTCTCTCCTTCTCTCTATCCTCTGGCCGCGTTGCCCGCACCGCACACCGGCGGGCAGAGGGAGGCGTGGGGAGGTGCAGCAGGCGAAGCGGCATGCGGGAGTCGGATCTCGCGGAGCTGCGGGTGCTGCCGAAGGTCTTCCCGCGGCACCCGTACGCGCGGCACACGGCGGGCCTCGGCGCCGGCGAGAGCGCCACGCCGCCGCCCGCGTTCAGCACCAACGGAGTTCTTAACGTGAAGGTGATCGGCATCTACTGCTCCCGCCGCCCGACAGGCGAGCCTGGCGCGGCAAGCGCGGGGGGAGGCGACGGAGTCACGAAACAAGTCGAGAGCGGGCAGGAAGAGTCGGAGGCGGTGTCGGCCAATGAAGTTCTTGGCGGGCGGCGTGGGGAGGCCGCGGGAGGTGCTTCCAAGCGACACATTTACGTCCGGGTGCAGTTCAACAAAGTCCTCGTGGACACCGTGCCGCTGGAGGTGATGCGGGAGAAGTACCCGCAGGTGCTCATAGACTACCTGCTCTCAACGGCCGTCTGGACGTGACTGTGCCCCTCTCCTCCCCCTCCCCGTGCCTCGGCCGGAGCGTAGGGTATTGGAGGGGAGCCGAGTGACCGGAGTTGTGCGTCCCGCGAGCCGTGTGTGTGTGTGTGAGTGTTCTTTTTGCTCGTTTGTTGTTGTGTTTCCGCCTTTGCGGCTTCCCTTTGGAGCGGTTTTCTTCTCCTTTGCTGCATTGCGGCTTCTGCAGGCCTCACTGCGGCCGCCGGTCTGGAGGCGTAGTTCGCCACACTAGCTTGCAGGGAGTGTTGTGTGCCGTGTGCGCGTGTGCCCCCTGCCTGTGGTGGGCCTTGCGTCCAACGTCCGTCTTGTTTCTCCCGCCTTTTCCTCCACACATACACACACGCACGCGTTGGCGCAATGAATGCAGAGCGAAGAAGCGAGAAGAAGGAAACCACCGCGAGGAAGAAGATGGCGGAGGAAGAGGGAAACAGCGAGCCCACGCTGAAGACGCACCGCTGGGAGACGGCGTCGGGTGCCCCGGTGCCGCTGCCGACGTCCTCCCGTTGGGGCGCCGGCACCCCGCGTCAGTTGGGCGGGGACACGCCGAAGGTTCTCGTGAGCGCCGAGCTCTCAGCGTGGCGCGGCCACTCGACCCCGACGCCGAGCGCCTACACGGTGGACTCCGTTAGGACCCCGACAATGCGAGGGCAGGGCGGGCAGACACCGACGTTTGGCGCAGGAGGCGGCGCCACCCCGACGTTTGGCGGCGCCACTCCGATGTTTGGCGGCACCACCCCGATGTTTGGCGGCGCCACTCCGATGTTTGGCGGGGTGACGCCGGCGGCGGGCATGGCGTTCGGCGTTACCCCAAACCTCCAATTTGAGGGGACCACGCCGGTGCAGTCACGCTTCGCCGGCGGGGACTCGCAGTCGGCCATCACGGCCAACATTGAGGCGCAGGCGCGGAAGCTGGAGGTGCAGTGGCGGATGAAGAACAGGCGGCTGACGGAGGAGTACCTTGACTCCATTCTCCCGCCCGAGTTCAAGCTCGTGGAGGCGCCTGCGGACTACAACCCGCCACCGCCGGAGGAGCCAAACTTCTACGAGCTCGCCAGCAAGTCGCTGGATGTGTTTGTGGTGAACCAAGGCAGTGACGCCGCGGCGGCCGTCACCTACGACATTCCAGAGAGCCTGGGGGAGGGGATGCCGCAGATGAAGCCGCAGGATGCCCCGGTGTTTGAGATGCTTCTCAAGTACCATAATGTCAATCCCATCCCCGATGAGGTGCTGCCGTCGTACCTTCTCATGAAGAATCTTTTCAGGATTAAGAACGGCGACACAAACCAGCGTCGTATTGCCATGCGATTCTTGCTAGATAAGGCGCGTGTCTTTGGTAGTGAGCCACTCTTTCAATTCACGTTTCACGTGTGGCGATCCAGCAGTCTTGATTTGCAGGAGCAGCACTATTTTGTGGACCTTGTCAAGGGCGTGATTTCGCGGCTGCAGAAGGAGGTGCGGAGCTCCACAAAGGAGATTGTGCACATGATGGAGGTCCTCCTCTCCGCCCAGGAGGCTGCTGTGCGGGAGGATGGCAAAGACGTCCTCGCGCTCCTCACCCGCGTGGTCGGCTACGAGGCGGTGTTTGAGGCGATCAAGGAGGACTTTGCGCACGCAGAGAACGGCGTGCGCCGGCACACGGCGAAGGTGGTGGCCATCGTGGGGTACGCGGTGGGGCCGGCGACGGCGCTGCAGATCATCCACGGCATGTCTCTCTCCCCGGTCGCGCTGGCGCGGCAGACGTCGGCGCGCGCCATCACGGAGTTGGCGTCCATCCTCATGCACGCCATCACCGGCGAGCTGGTGGAGCTGGTGCCCATCTTTGAAAAGCTGCTGCGGGATGAGCCACGCGTCAAGCGTGAGGCCGCCAACGCCCTTGCGCACGTGGCAGACGCGACCCACCCCTACGGCATCGAGGAGTTAACGCCACTGGTGCATATCGTGCGGGAGGAGTGCAAGCGTGGCATCGGCAGCACCGCAGGACCGTTTGTGCGTGCCTTTGGTTCACTGGTTCCGCTCATGGCGCCGTACGACGCGCAGAAGTACACCTCCGACATGATGCCCACCCTGGTGAATCAGTTCAACACGCCGGAGGATGAGCACCGTCGTGTCTTGCTGCAGGTGGTGCGGCAGTGCGTTTCCGCAGAGGGTGTCACGGCAAACTTTATTCGCGACGTCATATTAAAGCCCTTCTTTGACGGTTTTTGGTCCGTGCGTCGCGTGGCTGCGGAGCGCAAGACGGCGGCCGCCCTGGTGGAGACGACCGTGGCGCTCTCGAAAAAGCTCGGCAGCACCGAGATCCTGCAGCACCTGGTGCAGGACATGAAGGACGAGAATGAGCACTTTCAGCGCATGGTCATCGACACCGTGCGACGCGTGGTGCGGGCGGTTGGGACGGTTGGGGTTCCCGACACTCTTGTCGCTCTGCTGCTGGACGGCGCCATCGCCGCGGTGAAGCAGGACGAGAGTGGCCTCAACCGCGTGGTGCTGGAGGGCCTCGCCGTCATCTGCAACTCGCTTGGAAAGCGGCTGAAGCGGTACCTGCGGCAGGTGTTTGACCTCATCAAGAGTCGTCGTGACATGCCGGGAATGATTCGCATGCAGGCGGCGGAGCTGGCCGCCCGCATCGCACACACCGTGAAGGAGGCGGAGGGGATACTTTTCCTGCAGGATCTCGGACGCAGCCTCTTTGACCGCCTGGAGGACGATGAGGCGGCCGTGATGAGTGCAAACATAAAGGCTACGCGTGCCATTTTGCTGGAGCTTGGGGCGGCGAAGTACCAGCCGTCTGTCAAGGAGCTGCTGAAGAAGCTGACGTACATCATCCGCAACCGCAACAGTAACGTGCAGCTGAACACCATCTTACTTATTGAGGAGATCGCGACGAACTGCGACGAGGACGTGGATGCCATTCAGCTGCAGGAATTAGCCACCAAAGGGCTCTTTGAGCTCCTGGACGCCGATCGCCGTGAGACCCGTCGGGCCTGCACCCGGACGTTTGGCGTCATTGCCCAGAAGATTCGCCCCTTCGCCATCATTCTCGAGCTCGTCGATAACTTCAAGCAGGACAAGCGCAAGATTCGCATCTGCACCGCCGTGGCGTTGGCGGCCATTGCCCGTGAGTGCGGCCCCTTCACCGTTATCCCCTACATACTTAACGAGTACAAGATAAGCGAGGGGGAGCAGGTGGCGACGATTGTGCAGCACGCCGTGCTGAAGGCAATTCGGTACGTGTTTGAGGCCATTGGGGCCGTGGGGAAGGAGTACGTCTACCCGCTCATCCCACTGCTCCTGCGCGCCCTCACGGAGACGGAGATCCAGCACCGCCGCATGGCCGTCGAGGCCTGTCGGGCGATCACGATGGCGGTGGCCGGCAACGACGGGTTTGAGGAGGTGGTGATTCACTTCCTCAACTTTATTCACCCGAACATCGTGGAGCTGCTCTCGCGGAATGAGTCGAAGATTAGCGAGGAGCGGCTCAAGATGGTCACCGCCGTCGTGAGCTTCTACGAGGCGGCCCTCCTCGTGGTGGGGTCCGCCAGGCTGTTGCAGTACCTGCTGCAGGGACTTTTTCACCCGGCGAAGAAAGTGCGGGACATCTACCGGCGGACGTACAACATGATTTACATCGTGAGCCCGGAGGCGCTCGTGCCGTGCTACCCCAGCGTGGGCGACGCCGACGAGCGTCTACCCGCCCGCCACGAACTCGAGGTGATCCTGTAGGAAGCGGGCGGTGGAGCTCCCTGTGTGTCTGTCTGCGTGGCGAGTGCCGCCGTTCCGCCGCACACTTCCTGATTTTTGCCTTCTCCTTTTTTTTTCTCTTCTTCGCGTTTTTTTTGTTTCTTCTTCGTCTGCCCCGAGGGGGTTAAGTATCAGCAACCAGAACTGGAGGGAGAAACACAAAACTGCGTCGTTTCACGCCGCCTTCCCCACGTCCCTCCTTCTTCCACCGTCGTTAGCCTTCCGTCGCCTCACCCCCTCGGCTGCTGTTTGTTTATTTTATATTACTACTACTACTATTGCAGTTGCCGTTGCTGTTTTTTTTTGTTTCCTGGCGCTGTTGCTTTATTTTCCTCCTCTCTCTCTTTTTTTTGTTTTTGTTTATCAATGGCTTCTCGTGCGTGCGTTCGTGTGTTTGTGGGCGCGGCACCGCAGTAGGAGGGCGACGAAGGCTACTGCACACACGCACGCACACACACAACAGACACTCACACACACACACACTCGCATGCTTCTCGACGTCTCAAAGGCGCCGGGCGAGCACACCGCCCTGGACGACATCCAGGAGCTGCTGAAGGCCGTCGCGTACACCGGGCAGAGGCAGAAGATCGGCGCGCTCAAGGCGCAGTACAACAACCTCACCACGCTGAGCATCTCCACCCCGTTGGTGGTGGCGCTGCAGCACGTCACGTCGCTGACGGCGTCGTACAATTGCCTGAGCACACTGCAGGGTTTAGAGGCCTTTGCTTTCCTGGAGTTTCTTGATCTGAGTCACAATTCACTGCGTGTGCTAGACGCACACTCGACTTCCATCCTGCGCCGGCTGCGGTACCTGCGGCGCTGCGACTTCTCGCATAACGAACTCCGCCTCATTGACCTCGACATGCCGCTTCACGGCAGAGTGACGGAGGCGCCAGAGGAGGATGACGACCTCGACGCCGTGACGCTGGATGAGCTCACGGTGCTGAACCTGTCCCACAATCAGCTCATCGACGTCCCCGACTTCCGCTGCATGCCTCTGCTGGAGGAGCTGCACCTGGAGCACAACCGTATTGAGTGCTTCACGGACCTTGAGAACCGCCTCCCGCTCGTGGCGCTCACCTCCTTGTCGGTGGCCTGTAATGCACTGCGGACCCTGCAGGACCTCCTTCCCCTTACGGTGCTGGCGGAAACCCTCAAGGAGCTGGCGGTCCGCGGAAACCCCTGCATGCACAACGGCGCCGTCGCCAAGGGGTGCCCAGTGCGGCCCTGGCTGCTCTGGATTCTGCCGCAGCTGGAGACCGTCGACGACGTCCCCCTCACCCCGGAGGAGCGGCAGACGGCGGCGGTGATGTTCCGGCAGCACGGCGAGCTTAGCCACGAGGCCATAGCATTGATGAACAGCCACCAGGAGCTGCAGCTGGAGTCGTACCTGCAGAAGTTTGCGCTCCCGCAGGCGCATGGCGGGCGGCACACCGCCGACGTCATGCCGGGAACGAAGATGGAGCAGCCTGCGGCTTCCTCGCGAGAGACGGGCGCATCGTTGTCCTCCTCGCTGGGAGGCACGGCGACGCGCCTGCCAAACGTGTCAAGCGCCCCCAGCGTGGCCGCCGCAGCCGCCGGCGAGAGTTCGCTGCGGCCGCAGTCCGCCATGACAGTTTTGCCGATGATGCAAAAGAAACTGAAGCAGCTCTCAAACGTGATGGAGGTGCTGTGGAAGGAGAGCATGACGCGACGCATGTTTGCCACCGTCGTGCTGCAAAAGTACGTGCGTGGGTTTCTCACACGCCAGCGCCTCCCAGCGCCCGTGCAGGAGAGCTGCGCACGCATTAGAAGTAACCTGCGCCGCGCGTTTCGTAGGCAGGGGTGGGCTCGACAACCGCTGCAGCCGACGGCGACGGCGATTGTGAGTAGGGGCGAGGCGCACCGAGACAACAACAACAGCAACGGCAGCGACCCTAGTGAGCAGGCGGTGCTGGTGAAGCAGGTGCGAGCGTTGGACTCCCAGGTGCGTCAGATGTGGGGTCTGATGGGGGAGCTTCGTGGCATGCTGAACCAGCGCCGCCGCGCCGCCGCCGTAACGATTCAAAAGTACTACCGCGGCCACGTTGATCGGAGGAAGTGGAGCCGTCTCAAGAAGCTCTACGACGAGTTTGTAGACTCCTTGCGCCCGGAGGTGGTTCTGATACAACGCGCGTGTCGCGGGTACCTGGGCCGCCTGCGGCTTATGCGGCGCCGTGCAAAAACACTGGGGCTGCGTCTCCTGCAAGCGGAGGTTGTGGAACTGCGCCGCACCGTCGCGGAGATGCAGGCGCTTATGGAGCAGAGCCGGCGGCGGCAGCGGCTGGAGCGGTACGCCGACCCCGAGAAGGCGATGGACGAGATCGTCTCCACGTACACCGCCTCGCGAGCCACGCCCTCCGTTGAGTAGGAACCGCACACACTTCGAGACAGCGTGGCCTCACACCCGCGCGGCAGCGAAAGGAGGGGAGGAAACAAAACGAAGCAAATCAACATGAAAAAAAAAAGGCGCGCACATAAATATTATTATTATATTATATACACACGCACACACACATGCGCAGGACGAAGCGACATCGCTGTCTGTGGCGCCACGTTTTTTTTGGGGTATTTAACGGACACACGGTGAATGCGCAGAGGTGTGTGAACGGATCTTCCAGGGGCTTGCAAGTACCGCGCAAGTGGCCGTCGTGTGTTGGTGTGTCCTGTTGGGCCATTTCAGAAGAAGAAGAAAAAAGTGGGTGAGGGGGATTGACACGACACCCCCTCCCTCCTTCCCACTGAGGCGATCACCTTCTGTTATGATTGTATCATTTTTGTTTTGTTTTTGTATATGTGGTACCCTCCTCCCATTCCATTCACCACGCGCTCAGGTGCCGGTGACACCCACCGATTCTGCTTCTTTTCTACGGGTTGTGGTGTGTGCGCGTGCTTGCGCGTCTGAGTGGCGGGTTGGCCTGCGCTCCTTATTTCTGTGTGCGTGCGTGCGTGTGTGTGTGTGGAGGTTGTGTGGCTTCGCTGGTGTGTGGTACTCTTCTTTGTTTTTGTTTTTACCCTTGCCAGCCTTCTGCGCCCTGGCGGCCTACTTTTGCATATATTCCCCTTCTTCTCTTACTGATGCTACTTTTTTTTCTTTTTTTTGCAGCGGCAGTTCACGCGTGTGTGTGCGTTTTTTTTTGGTTTGTTTGTTTGTGGGAGCAGCGACCACAAGACAGAAGCGCGGCGAGAAGGCGCTTCTTTGGGCCTGCGTGCGTGCGAGAGCGTGCGTGCGAGGCGGTCGGAGGCCCTTTGACGCACCAAAGCCAGCGCGCAGGAGGAAAAGAATGGTGGCGACGCTGAGCCACAACCCCGTTCCGCGGGTCACCAACTTCTACGAGAACAGCCTGAAGCAGCTCAGCGACATCCAGCAGCGGCAGACCGGGCTTCTCATCGGCGCCGTGGTTGCGGATGCGGCGGCGCGTGGGCTGGACGGGTGCTCCGCCGAAGAGATCGCCGAGTTCGAGAAAAGGCAGGCGACGTTGCACAGCGGCGGCGGCGCTGAGGAGGAGTCGCTTGCGTTTGCGCTGGCCGGCCCTCCGCACCCTTCTTCGTCTCCGCCGCCGACGGGCGCGCTGCGGCACCACTCCTACACCTGCCTGCTCCTGCAGCGGCTTCTCCGCGTCATGGCCGCCGCGCGAGGGGATTTTCCCGTGAGTTACGTGAAGGACAGTTGGGTTTCCGTCGCCCGCGCGCACCCGCAGTGTTTCGCGGCTGAGCATGCCTCGCTGCTGAACGTGTTGGGGGTTGTTTTGTCCCTGCCGGTGATTTACCCCTGGACGGACGACGCGACGCTGCGTGCGTACGCGGCGCCGTTTATCGACTTCCTCACGGAGCCCCCGGCCGCGGGTGCGGCGACGGCGGCGCGCGGCGCTGTGCGGGCGTACGCCTTCTCTGCGCTCGGCGTCGCGCTTCGCTGCCTGCAGAGCAACCCTGATCCGCTCCGCAACGCCGCCATCGTAGCGCCGCCGGGGACGGCGGACTTGTTTCCCGACGATCTCGCCTCCTTTGCGCCTGCCTGGCCGCAGGACGCGCTGCTGTCGCAGGTGCCCGACGCCGGCGCCGCGGGCCCCGCGGCCGCGCCCTTTCCAGCCCGTCCTCTCGCGCGCGACGTCTGTGTGGCGCGCGAGGCCCTCGTCGTGGCGAGGCGCGCCCGCTCCTTCGCAGACGGCGTGCGGATGGCAATTCGGCTGGGCGGGCCCGTCTCTCAGCGGAGCCTCCTCGTTGGCGGGCTGCTCGGCGCCCGGCTGGGGGTGCGCCGGGTCCCGCCGGAGTGGCTCAGCGCGACGCACGACCACGGCGCGCTGGCCACCATGGCGATTGAGGTGGCGCAGTGGAGTTGGAACCCCCCGCACCGCTAAAGGGGCAACTAACCGGCCGCAGCCCCTCTAATCCCGCACGCACCTGCGCAACGGCGGCGGACACGACACGCGCTGCAGGGAATAACCTGCATGCACGACTTCTCTCCCCCCTTTTTCTTTTCCTCTCTTCCTATGTATGTGTGTGTGCCCGTGTGTGCCGCTGCCTACTTTGTATACACGTCGCTACGTATGCGTGTGTTCCTTTTCCGCTCTATCCTCGTTGATTGCGCCAACAAACACGACACACAAATACACGCACGAGTAAGTAGGGTTTTTTTTAACTCCTATATATATATATTTTTTTTTTGTGTTTTATTTTTATTTTGCTCAGGTGAGTGTTGGGGGTAAGCGGAAGCCGAGGCAGTGCGAAACACACCACAGCACGGAGCTTAGGGGCGGGTGGGGATGAACGCCACAAGTCCGCGGAGTGCGGTTGGCTTCCGTCGTAAGAGCACGCGGCCGTCGGTGAGTCTGAACGGGACGGCGCCCTCCAGGGCCACGATGCAGGTCCCCGGCGTTCAGGGCGCGCGTCGCCGCAGCAGTGCCTCGCGCTCCTCGCTCCTACCACCACCCGTGCAGCAGAGGCGGGTGCAGCGGGATGCGGAGCTCGTCTTGGAGGAGGCGCTTTGGCACCTCTGCGGGGAGAACGCGGAGGAGACGCTGGACAACCTGCTCAGAGTCATCTCGATTCGTCGTGGCGGGGCACTCTCACCGCGAAAGGGGCGGCCGCTGTGGCAGCGCGTCCAGGCCATTGTGGTGGTTGCCAATCAAGAGGCCATCCGTCGCATGCAGACGGCGATTCCGAGCGAGAGGGTTCAGTTTTTCTTTGACAAATCGCTGCATTTATTGGAGTTGCCGTCCAAGAAGCGTTTCCCGTGGAGAAAGGACGAGTTTGCCACCTTTCCCTCACTTCGCAAGCACCTTGTTGGGGCAACGCTGACCAACAAGGCCGTTCTGCAGCACACTTCGGGTGAGTCCCCAGAGCTCGTCGTGCAGACGCTTCAGCAGGCCCTTCGGGAGCAGGGGGCGGCGTTCGCCACCGCGGTGCTGTACAACCTGGCCGTGCTTATGGTGTCCGTGCAGCGGTTTGACCTCGCCAGCAACTTCGTTGCCTGCTGCAGCGAGTTGGTGGAGGCGTGCCTGCGCATCGACCTCGCGGATTGTCCCGGGGCCTTGTCCCTCCTCAAGGCGTACCGCAAGGGCGTTGCCACGCATGCCATCATGTGCCACCACCTTGTCGCCGCCCTCGCCGCCTGGTGCAGGCTGCCGGACGTGGAGAAGTACCACTGCCAGCTCGCCGTCTGCTGTGCCCAGCGTTACCTGGAGCCGAGGAGCATGCTTGCCATTCGCTGCAACCGGCGACTGGCGACGGCCAGGGATGGCAGCAGCGCGACGATGATGAGCGAAACTGAGCCGCCGCGGCTGCCAATGCTCCACGACGACTTGTCGCTCGTGACGGACTCCCTCTTTATTGTCTTGCTGGAGCGGGCGGAGAAGATGCAGACGCCGCCGAGGCTCGCGAACTACGTCGCCCAGTTTTCGTCCCGTGGACGGTCGCCCGACTCCCAGAGGTCCGTCCGGCTGCCGCCGATCAAAGACAAGCGGCGGCGCTCGGTGGGGCGGCGGCAGTCCTCCGGCGCCCAGGGCAGGCGAGCCTCAGCACAGCGGCGGCAGTCTTCCTTGCAGGGCGGCCCCGCCTCACACCCCAAGGGCAATAAGGGAGCCAGGGCGAAGGCAGGCTCCGAGTCCCCACCGGCACTGACGAGTGCGGTGCTGGAGTCACTCCGAAAGGAGCGCGCCGCGACGCCGTTGCGCGAGGACGACCTCTTCGGCATAGACTTTGTCACAAGGCCGGGGACGCCACCCATCATCACCTTCGTGCCGAAGCCGGCGTTCAACTGCTACAAGCACCTGAGGAGGGAGCTGCGCCGGCTTGTGCGGGAGCTCGGGGAGGAGGTGGGGACTGCGGCGTCGACTGCGGCCTCCGCCGTGGCCGAGTTTCGGGAGTCGCTGGGAGGCAGGAGCTTTCGTGAGAGCGTCGCCCCCGAGAGCGGGCTGGCGTCTCCGGGCCCTGAAGAATACATGCGAATCATGGACAGGAAGCTGCGCCACCTCTCGCGACTTCTCCCGGACGAGGAGTTTGAGCGAAAAGAAGGCGCGGTTGTGACGATACAGAGTTTCTGGCGCGGCGTCGTGGACCGTCGCGAGTACCACCGACGCCTTCCACTGGTGCAGGAGGTCATGCGCAGGCGCGAGGCCGCCGAGATGATTCAGTACGCCTTCCGCAACTACTGTGCCACGAGAGCGCCCATACTACTGAAGAAGGAGCTCCGCGCACATCGCGTTCTGGTGCAGCGGGTGACGCGTGTTCAGTCCTACCTGTATCACAAAAGAGGCGTTGAGGAGACCGGGAAACGGACGGTGGCGTCACTCAAGCGACTCATTGCCGCCATGCTGGAAGTACGCCGGAGAAACGCCGCTGCTGTGCGTCTACAGTCCTTCTGGCGTATGTGCCTGGCGTGGGCCTGGCTGCGCCAGACGGTGGCGGCAACCCTGAACATTCAACGTGTGTGGAGAGGGCACCGGGGAAGGATGCGGGCGAGAGAGGCACGCGTCCGCTTTCGCCTGGAGGAGCAGCGGCGGATAGCCAGGCACACAGCGGCGGCGCGCCCGATTCAGCGATGGTGGAAAAACGTCCTGCTGCTGCGGGCGTGCAAGGCCATTGTGACGCGCCGGCAACGCGAGGTCGCGGCGTACCTGCAGGCGACGGAGCAAAAGTTTACTGCGGAGTGGGAGCGCATCAAGCACCTCCCAAACGTGGAGCTCTGCGTCATAAATATACTCTCGGTGCTCCGCGGCTTCCACTGCCGCGTGGAGCTCGCACGCCAACGGAAATTTACGCACATTATCCGACGCTTTCTTCTGCGCATTGTGCTGAAAAAGCGCGGGCAACGATGCCTGCAGCTCCTGCGGGAGGAGCGGCAGGCGTCCCGCGCGCTGCGGCGTCGGCGGGAGGAGGTGATGGACGCTGTTCTCCGTATCCAATGTGCCGCTCGCCGCTGGCTTGCCTCGCGCGTGCGGGCGGAGCTGTGGGCCGAGTTGCAGCGGCTGCATCATCAGGCTCGTGTTATCCAGCGCGCCTACCGTCGCCACGTGGGGCGACGCCTGCTGCAGACCGAAAAGGCCGAGGCGGCGTTTGAGGAGGAGAGGCGCATGATGGGTCAGCTGATGCACTACAGTGCCTCCAAAATTCAAGCCACTTGGCGCATGTATAGCGGTCGACGGTCGCGGGCGGAGTTCCTCGCCTTTATGCGAAAAGACCGTCACGTCTTTTCGTCTCGCATTCAGAGGGCCTGGAATGCGTACAAGGCACGTCGTCAGTCCGATTGGCTGCGGCTTAGCCAAGGCGACAAGCATCGTCTACAGCAGGAGTGGCAGCGCCAGCTCACGGCTGTCATCCGCATTCAGTCCGTTGCACGCATGTTTCTTGCGCGTCAGAGGCTGTTGCGTGAGGGGCTGACTCTGCGGCCCACGCCGGCGTTTTTGAACCGTTGCGCACGGGGCATCCAGTGCGCTTGGCGCCGCCACGCTGCCTACGAGTACGTGCAGCAACTCCGTTTCTCGCGGGCGTACTACGATCAGCAGAAGATAAATATAGAGACATTGCACGTCTTTGCGACAATGATCCAATCCCTGGTGCGGGCCAAAATTTTGAATCCGCGGCGCGTTGCGGCTCGCCGTCTCGAGTTGGAGGAGGACGACGAGGAGCACAAGAGGAAGCGGGAAGCGGCAATGCGATCGTCCTACGCCGCCATCATAGCAGAAATGGGCATGCGCCGTGCCAGGGGTGCTCCTGTCGAGCCGCGGCCAGCTGAGCCTGCGCCTCTTGTGGCGTCGGAGGAGTGTGAGCCTACTGCGGTCGAGGCGGAGGAGCCTGCGCCTCTCGTGGCGACGGAGGAGTGTGAGCCTACTGCGGTCGAGGCGGAGGAGCCTGCGCCTCTCGTGGCGACGGAGGAGTGTGAGCCTACTGCGGTCGAGGCGGAGGAGCCTGCGCCTCTCGTGGCGACGGAGGAGTGTGAGCCTACTGCGGTCGAGGCGGAG